AATCAAAGATTTACTGCCAGAATTAAATCGTAAATCGACTGCTTCAACTTCCGGCTTTTAAAGGAAGAGTACTGTCATTCATACTAGTCAAGACAATAATGGTCAAAAAGTGGCAAAAAATGACTTTTCAAATTTTCGCATCCCTAAGATGGCGGATATTAAGCCTAGTAAAAATAAAGGCGGTTTTGAGCCTTATTTCAGATGTCATGGTTCTGGTAGACAAGAGGCGGATGGTGAAGTGAAAGGCACAAAGAACAAACGACAATTGGGTTTTAAAAATAATAAAAGAGGGTTACAAATTGGAATTTTCGGGGGAAATCCCACAAACAGGAATAAAGTAAATAAATGTTCCAATGAAAAATTTGCCTATTCTGTTAACAGAAATAGATCAACCTTTTGGAAAAAAGCCATAGACAATGTACCTGTAAAAGAAAAAAACTGTGGTTTTTACAGTAAGTTTTTTCTAGTACCTAAAAAGACAGGCGATTTGAGACCTGTAATAAATTTAAAGCCTCTGAACAAGTGTTTCCAGAAAAAAACACTTCAAAATGGATTCTCTAAACAGTGTCTTAAACTTAGTACAAAAAGGAGATTGGGCAATTTCTCTCGACCTGAAAGATGCATATTTCCATATACCAGTTCACGAAACACACAAAACGTATCTAAGATTTTGTGTCAACAATCAGTGTTACCAATTTCGGGTGCTGTGCTTCAGTTCAACATCAGCACCTCGAATTGTCACTAAAGTGTGTTCTGTGGTGGCAGCTCATTTACTAGCCCAAAATATTCGTGTAGCAGCTTATCTAGACGATTGGTTCTTGATAAATCAGGTTAAACAAATGCTGATTTCAGATCGAGAGAAAATCCTCAACCGCCTAACAAATTTAGGATTTGTAGTAAATCTAGAAAAGTCAGGCCTATTTCCAACGTAATCAATAACATACATAGGGGCAGTGTTTTCTTTAAAAGAAGGGATAGTTCGTCCTACATTAGAAAGGGTGTCAAAACTCCTTCCTGCAGTAGAACTTATCTAAAACAAGCAAAATCAAGCAACAGCAAGAGATTTTCTACAATTATTAGGTATTATGGCTTCATGCAAAGAACTAATTCTAAATGCAAGACTCTTTAAGAGACCAATTCAAAACCTAGGAATAAAAATTCCTTTTCAAAACATCTAAAAGGTCACCTCAGATGGTGGTTAAACATAGAAAATTTAGATATGGGCAGATCAATAACACCTTGGGAAACGTCAATAACAGTAACAACAGACGCATCAAAATCAGAGTTCGGAGGTCACATCAACAACAGTCTCATAGTTCAGGGTTCATGGTCAGTAGAAGAAAAGCGTCTCCACATCAATTCTTTAGAAATGGAAGCGGTTTTTCTAACTGTAAAGCATTTCCTACCAAAAATGTTCTTATTCGATCAGACAATGCAACGAACATTCGTTACATACACAAACAAGGAAGCACTCGCTCTCCCCCCCCCCCCCCTTTGTATGAGAACTTGGAAACTTCGGCAATTAGCACTAGAAACCATTTTTTTTCTGAAAGCTGCAGCACACATTGCAGGAAATAGGAATATACTAGCAGACCATTTAAGTAGGGTAAAATTTCAACCAACAGAATGGTCATTAAACAAAGAGACGACACATGCAATATTTCAGATTTGGGAGACACCTCACATAGATCTTTTCGCCTCTGCGAAAAATCGACAAAACAGATCTTTTACTCCTGGAACCCAGACCCTCAGGCATATGCAATAGATGCTCTAACAATTCCTTGGAACAACATGTATGCGTATGCATACCCTCCAATTTGTCTAATACCAAAAATACTACAACATATGACGAGGTACGATTGTCAGTTAATTTTAATAGCTCCACATTGGCCACGCAGACATTGGTACACAAATCTTCTGAAGTACATACATGTAATAGATTATCCAAGGAGCCTGCCAGTCAGGGAGGATCTATTACACCAGCCTTAAACAAACATATTTCATCTAAATCAAGCAGTATTCAATCTGACTGCATGGTTTTTTTTTATCGACTTACAGTTTAAAGAGAAAGGTTTTTCTAAAGAAACTAGAAAATAACATGGCGCTCTGGAACTAAAAAAAAAATACTCTGTTATCGAAAATTCAATAGCTGGTGTAGTAGACGGGAAATTGATCCCTATAGTGCTTCTCTGACGGAGGCGGCTGAGTTTTTGACATATTTATACTCAGAAGGTCTTCAGTATAGAACCATAGCTGCTGATAGATCTATGTGATTCTCTATTCTAGCTCCAATTATTACAGTAGAACATCCTTACATTTTTCGTCTTATGAAAGTGTTTTTTAACTCGAGATCCCCCCCCCCCCCCCCCAAAAAAAAATAGTCCTTTTACCTGAATGGGACTTACCTTTAGTTTTAAGAAAATTAAAACAAGCACCTTTTGAACCAATGAAACATGCTCGTTTGAAATTGTTCCTTGGAAAACTGGATTTTTAATCGCAATTACTTCTTTCAGGAGATGCAGTGACTTACAATCTTTGTGTATTGGGAATGACTCTATTGTTGTATAGTAGAAAGGGGTGACTTTTGTTCGTCATGGACTATCAAAATAGGATAGACCAAAACATTTTGGTAGCAAGATTTTTATTCCGTCTTATCAATCAGATAAGTTATTAGATCCTATTTATTATTATTTGAAAAAAAAATGAACCTTTCAGGAACTCTGACAGTGAGTTTGTGAACAAGTTGTGTTTATCTTTTATTGAACCGCACAAAACCTGTTACATCACAGACTATTTCGTCTTGGATTGTTAATGCAATTAAATGTGCTTACAATGAGAAGGACACGAAATTTCGTGCTCATTCTACAGGAGCCTTGGGCCAATCTTGGGCACTTTTTTAACGGCGCATCTGTGAAGTCTATTATAAACACAGCTGACTGGGCAAAGGAATCAACCTTTACTCGTTTTTATTTACGTCACATAGACGTAGAAATTTTAAATTCTGTGTAAATAAGAATTTTGTACAAAAAGAAGAACATTCTGAAAAAAAGAAGAATATTTAGAACATGAAAGTAAAATATTTAACTGCATAGTATTGTGTTATTTATATCTGAACTGACTTGAATAAAATACAGTATACAAAGTACAGAAAGATTCTTCAGCTGTGGATAGTATGAATTAAAATAAATTAGGAATTTTATTCTCAAATTTTAATTTTATGATAGAATAATACTTACATAATTGGCACCTTATAATGGGGAGATAATCCTAAGGTAATTTCCAATTACATAAGTATTATTCTAATCATAAAATTTAAATTTGAGAACAAATTTTCCCAATTTTGTCGAAACAAATCTCTCCGCAATGATGAAAGATAAATCTCAATTAAAATATTAAATAATTTATCTAAATTATAATAATCATAATATTCAAATATCGGATATCCAAATGTAATAAAAACATATTTATCAAAAAGTCCACATACCGCTTATCAAAATCAATCTTGTGTGCATAACATAATACAAACAGTATAAATATACAGTTGAATGTTCATGTTTAAAAATCCGATACGGATCGACTAAGGTATATTGTACTTTTGTTCAAGGACCAGTTGTACTTTTTTTCATGGAACAGGTATCATTTCGTACGTTTTGTTTTTATTATTGATTGATTAGATTGTGTTTCACTCATCTTCCCCTACTATTGGCTATTTCGTGGCAGTCAGTTTTGATTGGCGTAGGAAGCCAAAGTGCCTTGAAGGAACCACCATTTTTCGACAAGAAAACTGATGATCCAAGTTGATAAGATTGGAGTTCGACTGCGGAATACAAACTCACAACCACAGTTTTGACAGGCTAGTAATACAGTCGTTGGACTACTTAGACCACTCGGCCACCGAAGTCCCTCTTTATTTTATCGTCGACTGATAACTGATAACAGGAATAAGTAATAAACAAAAGATACTGACTACTTACACATGCTAAATGATTGCCAAGTTGTTTTTCCGGTGCAATGTGTACCCGTCGATGCAAATATGTAAGGTGTTAAAAGGTAAAAACTCCAACATATTTTTTTACTTTTAAAAATTTTCATAAAGATCATAAAAGAGTTAAGGCGTCAGGTTGTTGACAATTCTATTTTTTCTTTTTTTTTCATTTCCAAGGGGAAAGTTCCTTTAAAATAAGTTGATTGGCTCTGTTTATAAACCTATCGAATATATTGCTGGTATAAACCTTTGATTTAAACTTCATTAAATTCCGACAAGAAACGTTGGCTTTCGGAGTGCTACAGTGCAATTATCAATAATTAATTTTGGATGTAATATGTCTTCTGATTGTCTGAACGTCTTTTGTCTATCAGCTCATAGACACAATTTTGTCTTGTGACCGTGACGTCATGAACGTTTTTTCATGATTTTCTCCTTAAAAATGGAACTTAGAATTAAATTGTAAGGAAAGACTGTAATTTTGTCTGTCTATTCGAAATAACCTATAAAATATACTGAATGCACCACATGTTTGATGTTATTTCTTCATAGACAGAAAAAATATTGCAGTCATTTCTTAAATATAATCTGTTTTTCAAATAGACATAATTTCAGTTAAATTTTAATTATTTATCGGGATTGATTTACGAACTCGTCAAAGACATTACTGATTTCAACCCATAACAAAAAATTGCATGCACATTTTTCGAGAAATGTAAGCTTGAGAGAGCACACAATTCAATTTACCAGAGAATTTTTAAATTACTAAGGGCTTAACTCCTTTAATCTTATTGATTGGTATTAATGTACGAACTCGATTTCGTACAAGACATTGTTATACAAACCTTTGATATAAATTTCATAAAATTCTGGCAAGAATTATACGCATGATAGCGCTAAAAAAGGCCGTATGAACAGACAAGACGCCCGGTATTTCTATGTACCCCGCATAGCATTTCAATAGGAGACAGAAACAATTATTAAGACAGTACCAAAAAAACAACACATATTTTGAACAAATCATGTTTATGTTGATCCTTTGCATCATCAGCCCAAGCTCACACGGAAACAACAATAGCTTCAGACAAGGATGTTGCCGAACTGAAACATAAAATAAATAAGTGTGCACATGTACAATATGTGGTGTGCATTCAAAATTTAATCTTTCTATATTTAAGATATAAACTTGATGAAAATGCAAAACATAACATAGAAAACGAGAATGACATTTAAGCAATAAATGCGTCTTTTTGTAATTTTATTGGGCTATAAAAGTGTTGACCGAAGCTCATGTTGTATGATTCTAAAAATGTGTGCACGATCAACACTTTCACAACCCTATCAAATTACTACAATAAGCATTCATGTCTTATAATTACTTTTTTATGCTAATACCATGAAAAAAAAAAACGTTTTATCAAGTTTTTTCTTTTATTTACCTGTACACTTTTTGTTGAAGCATGTGTCATCACGAATGTAACATTTCATTTTGATATGAAGGTTAATTTTTGAATGACGCGCGCGATTGTTGTTAGCCAATCAAACTAACGAATTCTCGTGAAACATACATGTAATGTAATTATTTAAAATTGTTGACTTGATTTGGTTAATTCAACTTGTAAACAGACATTTAGTGCGTTATTATATCTTCTTTAATTTCTGTCCCATTCTTTCAAAAGTTGTGTGTTTTTGTTTGTGATTGCTTTTTTTTCTAAACCATGTATATAGCTTATTATGCGGTATGGGTTTTGCTCATTGTTGAAGATTTTACAGAGACCTACAGTTGCGAACTTCAACATCAGTTGGTCTCTAGTGGAGAGCTGTCTCATTGGCAATCATACAACATCGTCTTATTCTATTTTGATAATTATATTTAATAGTAAAATAATTCAAATTAGTGAGGGGTTAAAACAAGAATGAAAGCTACATAAAACGATAATTCAGTTCAGTCAGACATTATAATAAAATATTGCCATTTTTTCGTGTACAACAAATAATATCAAAGATCGCATAAATTTCATAGCAGTGACATTTATTATGTGCGCAAGTTTTTTATCACTGCGTGCGCATATAATCTTGATAATTTCCTGATTTAATTCATTTTTCTGGACATGTCTGCACATGGGGTGTAACATGTGGAGCAGGATCTGCTTACCCTTCTTGAGTAACTGAGATCACCTCCAGTTTTTGGTGGGGTTCGTGTTGTTCAGTCTTTAGTTGTTTATGTTGTGTTTTGTGTACTGTTATTTGTCTGTTTGTCTGTTTGTCTGTTGGTATTTTTCTTTTTCAGCCATGGCATTGTCAATTTATTTTCGACATATGAGTTTGAATGTCCCTTTGGTATCTTTACTTCTCTTTTGAAAATATATTACCTCAATGCCGAACTAGAAACACCATTTCTAGTCGACGCAGTATAAGGAGGTGATGCTGCTGCATTCTCCCAGATAACCTCACCACCACGTGTTTTGATCACACCGCTATGAACTCCGCTTCTACATACGGATGAACTCTAAAAAACATTAAGTTGAAACCTTCAATGAGGGTCTGGATGGGGAGTCCTTCATTTCTGTATTCTTTAATTTTTTTGTCCATTATTCTCTATTTTTTATATTTTAGCACCTCATTATTCTCTATATATAGATTCTTTATATTTTAGCATTTCATTATTCTCTTTTCTTTATATTTTAGCACCTCATTTTTCTCTATTCTTTGTATTTTTGTACATTTTTCTCTATTCTGTATATTTTTTGCCCATTATTCTCTATCTGTAAACCCCCAGCCACACCCTCATCAATAGCATTGTGCACAGAAATAAGACAATACGCATATGTTTTGTCACAAATAGCACGTGATTTGTCACAGTAAGCACATGCTGTGACACAATAAGCATTCATTATGCTATAGAAAACATTGGCTTTCTCACATTAAATATTAAATCAAAGAACAATTAAATTATTCAATGATACGCAAAAAGAGTTGTGTTATATACGTAAACATGATAGTACAAAATGAATACCCTTTTCACTTGGTTGTGTCACCAATATTTTTTACACCCCTTCTCCTTTACAATTTTTATTTGACCCAAGTTTTTGCAGAGATACTGATTTGTTTTTTAAGATGTTAGATGGTACTTTGTATATACTAGCTTTATTGTGATTAGCTCCTTGCTTTCTGCTATCTTTGGCCAATACAAATGATCATGAAAATGTATAGTTACAATTAACTGCAATTTTGTGATAAGCAACTGAGAAGCTCTGATCACTTAATATACGTATAATCACGTTTTACAAGAAGCTTAATTCCAGAAAGTTTTTATTCATCTTTACTGTTGAAGACCAGAACTGGGGTTACAATAGAGGAAAGCAAGTGCATCGGACATTCTGATTGGTCATTAATTAACGGAAATAGAAGTTCAATTTTTTTTTTAAATGATCAGATTTGATTGGCTAGATTATTTAACGTTTGTCTTACCACATCATATCTGCCAGTGCCATAAACAGGAGCTGACGCCAGTGGACAATCGTTCGGGCAATGTACTCTGAAAACATATATGCATATCGTACAGTAAATACTTTCTGTAAAAAGGGAATACATAACATAAACATGTAAACAAAATTGATTTTTCTGTCTTAATTGTGCATGTCTCAACCTGATCAATTCTAACATGTAGTAAAATTCTATATCACGGCTATGTGAAGTCAGTAATGTTTGGCCTGTAATAATCGCCAGCGTCTTAAAGTTCAGCATGATAACGTATCAAGTCTTCTCTTGGTAAGATTAAAAAAACAAAAGACATAAGATTTTGGATTGACCATTAATAAAACAAATGAAATCTTGTTAATTAGATTTTATTTAAATTTCAGACTCGTACATAACATTTTGCATCAGCAACCGAGTTTACACATATAATTATCACTTGAATAACATGTATTTAATCCTTAAAAATTCCAACTACGAAAGTAGTTTCGGGAACCCGTCTATGTAAGGGTAAACCAAGAAAAATAGTTCCGACGGACCAATCATATTCAAGTATTAAAAGACGTGCAAATCATATAAGAAATATTGCATTTAATCATATGTGAATCCTGTGTATTCTATTAATAAAACGGAAGCTATATGTAATTTGAGTCTGAGGACACATACAAATCTCAAAATTCAAAACCGACCTCAAATGAGAATTCAGGAGAATTTCGTCCAATTTGGTGCCATATTTTTCACAGACGATGTTAAAAAAGTTAAACGACGTAGTCATGGTAGTCAAATGATCAGAAAAGTTCACTTACATCAATAAAGAAAAGCAAAGTGTATCTTCAAAGTCAGCCTGGGCTACTGTGCATTTATTGACGACTTACGATCTTTTTAAACCATTTAATTTTCAATGTGTGTATGGAACGCCGGAACTCTCCTTCGGTATACGCAGTACATTTAAGGAATGACTGTAATATTTTTTCTGTCTATGAAGAAATAACATCAAAAATGTGGTGCACACTGAATAACCCGCGTAGCGGGTTATTTAAAAGTGTGCACCACATTTTTTAGGTTATTTCGAATAGACAGAAAAAATATTACAGTCAATCCTTATAATTTAATTCTAAATTCCATTTTTAAGGAGTACATTTTGAAAAGAACGTTGGTGACGTCACGGTCACATGACAAAATTATGTCTATGAGCTGATAGACAAAACACTCTCAGCCAATCAGAAGACGTGTTACATCCAAAACTAAATTATTTGATAATAGCTGCGGCGTTCCATAACTTGCTATAGAAAGTATAATATAACATGTTTAAGTTATCTCACCCACACATTAGCTCACATGGTAAAAACACAGAATCACAAGTAACTGTTCCCTTGTCTTCATAGACTGAAAACGAATCCAGTGATCAAAATTTAGCAATGTTGTCAAAATAAAAGCAACACAATATTTTAATTGTATTTAATTGCAGTAAGACGGTCATTGTAGTAGGCAGTAAAGATAAAATGCAGTGACAAATGATAATGTCATCTTACTTACTGATTATAAAGAAGAAAGTCCAAAATCAATCATAATTGGTATCAAATGTAATATGGACAAAATAAGTTTACAACCTTTTATATACAAATGATGCACGAGGAAAATTACATAACGTATATTCTATTAGTATAAACTAGAGTAGAGTATGGGTTTTGTTCTGTGTCTACGTTAGATAATCCTATGGGGGACAGGTATTCGTCTGCTTTTTGTCTTTTATTCTTCAAATAACGGTTCTAACATTCTCTATGAACAGTTAAAAAGGACATATATTTAAATATACATATGTACATATAAAAAAAATTAGCTAGGGGACATTGAAAACACACAAGTCGAATAGAAACTGACAATGTCATGACCACAAGCGTCGAAAAGTCAAACTGACAAGTCCATAAAACACTATATACAAAAACTAAAGACTGGGAAACACAAACCTAACCAAAAACTAGGGGTGATATTAGGTGTTCCGGAATGGTAACAGAAGGTGTGTGTATAGTAGCTATAATCATTTCCCTTTGCCATCTAGGGAAAACGTTCGTACTTAGAACATTGCATCAAAGTTAGTTCAACACTAGTCTCGAAAGAAGATGTAAAGTTAATTTGTTTCTAATTTTAAGACATACCTACAGCTGTTCTATTGGCAGAACCAAGATTGTTGGATGCAACACACATGTAATTCCCAAGGTCGTTAGGTGCCGATACACCGAGAACCAGTAGAGTTCTATCCGGAAGTATGATATGTTTACCGTCCTTGATAACTGGTGACCCGTTGTGATACCACTGAACGTTCAAAGGTGCTTCCCCAGTAGCCTGACAGTCGATTCCAAAGTTGGTTGTTGATTTGCTAACAGCAATGTGTTTTGTTTTTATCTTAACGACGGGTGATTCTAAAAATAGAAAAAAAAAAAAAAATATCTATTAAGTAGGACAACTAAACGATTTCTGATACGGTTTTTCAGATTTATAAAAAAGAAGATGTGGTATGATTGCCAATGAGACAACTCTCCACAAGAGACCAAATGACACAGAAATTAACAACTATAGGTTTAGATTTGCTTTTTTTATACAAAAATAACGTTTGTGTATGCAGATTATACCCAAATACGTATCTTAAGAGTTTATCATTATTTACTCTATAGCACTATTTGCAAACACATAGGTTCAATTTTTGAAGAGTTTATCTCACTCTAGAGCTATAAAAAAAGTTTAAAACTTTACTAAAATTAACTGTATCACAAACCTTCAGTTGTAACAATTTCTAAAAATATAAACAAATTATATATGCTTAAAGATGTCTCAAAATGGCAATCGTGGATTTATTTTTTGGATATTTTTGACTATTTTAAGTATTCAAAAACAAGAAACAACAACCAAATTTTTAACCATGGCCAAAAATCTTTTGGAAGTCAAGTTATGCTTAGTCTTTCAGACATACATGATATTCGATGCAAAACTATGAATAAAAGAAAACTGAAAGAATGTGCAAAATTGTTACAAAATTGTATTCAGTAGCAATGTACCACAGCGGTAAATATCTTTTGATTTTAGGGACATATTCATGTAAGTAAAATTGTTGAAAAAACTTTTAAATATATTATTTTGAATATTTTCTTTCAGAAACTTTCAGACTTTGATCCGATCCAAGCAGTGAAACAAATCAAAACAAAACGATTATAACTCCTAACAATAAGCTAGTTTTGAGAAATATTTTTGCTGCTTGAAGGACAAGAGTGTACATACCTTTTACTTGCAAAAGTACCGTGTATGTATCGGTTCCGAATACATTTGTAGCAGTACACTGGTATGGTCCTTGGTCTTTCTTCTCTACATCGATCATGACAAGATCTTTATCTTTGTTCTCAATAATATTATTAACGTTAGGCTGCAAAAGATAGGTCATGTGATTGAGATTGTTGACTGGTGGCAAAAAGAGAGGCGAAGGATACCAAAGGGACATTCAAACTCATAAGTCGAAAATAAACTGACAACGTCATGGCTAAAAAGGAAAAAGATAAATAGAAACAAAAACAGTACACGAAACAACATAGAAAATCAAAGACTGAGCAACACGAACCGCACTTAAAACTGGGGGTGATATCAGATGCTCCGGAAGGGTAGGCTCCACATATGGCACCCGTCGTGTTGACAAAAGATTGATCATGTGATTGATTATTGACTGGTGGCAAAAAGTTTAGGAATGTACAGACAATGTGTAAGTGTCTGGATGAGGGGTCCAGGTCCTTCATTTCTTCTTTGTTTTATCTTTTAGACCATTTTTCTATATTATTTATCTTTTCTTCCATTATTCTCTATCATTTTGATTTGAATACCATATTATTCTCTATACGTATTTTTTGGGGTCTATTTTCCTTTATTCTTTTGCCCTTTTTTCGTCACCTTGTCCATTATTATCTATTCTGTATCCATCCATGCCCGCATATTTATTATACGTCCTTTAAAACATCGTTCATTAAATAGAAGTAGGTGTTTTAAAAATAAAGTAATTAACTTAAAATATAGACACAAAAAAAGTTGTATTACATTCCTACTGACCCGCTTAAAGAGCAGATTTATGAACACATGGTAGAAATATGATATTATGAAGATCATGCTCTTTTGACGTTGTGTCAATGGAAATTCAAATATCCAATTGAGTGAATGAGAGGAGAGTTGGGAATATCAATGAGACAGAAACCTAACGACAATAATAATCAAAGATTTCTAGCGGTCAACATCAGACACGTGACTGTACAATATGTCAAGCTCTAAATCAACTCGAGTCTATATTCATATTTTTGCTTAAACAAGTCAGTTTATTTTGAAACTCAACGGTGTAGAACACGTGGTTAAGAAACTTATCGGTTGAGACCATGTGGTTGTTATGAAACTTATCGGTGGAGACCACGTGGTTGTTATGAAACTTACAGGTGGAGACCACTTGGTTGTTACGATACTTACCGGTGGAGACCACGTGGTTGTGGGCTTCGGCTCTCCTACAGCATTGCAGTGGAGTATTTTAGTTTCCCCAGCTATTGCAGTTATAACACTTGGCATTTGTACTTTGGGAGGGCCTTTAAAGTAACAATATATATTACTCATATTATTATTAAACTATATTCTTTTTTTTAAAGCCGTTTTTCTTAAATCGGTGCTATTTGGATTCGGTTATAACGTTTTCACAGTAAATTCACTTACGGTTAGCACTATTTTAGTAATAGTTTGACCAGTTCTGACTCCTGGTTCGTTATTCTACGATCAATCATATTTGAGACAGATTTATCCGTCTACTTTAGGAACAATTCCCCGTTTTGAATTATTATGGTGCTATATTTCCGCGAAGGTTTCTGTCATATTTAACCCATCAATAATATCCTCATATTACAACGATGATGTGTATTTCAATCTATGATTAGTATTAAGAAATCAAAAATTGCAGTTATTGCAAAAAAAAAAACAACAACCCAAAAATATCGATTAAATTAAAGGAGGATTAGCAAGTACTGTAATACTTAAGAAGCTGACATAATTTAATACGTATGATATCATTGATGTCTCACATTTAACATTATTATTTGGTTTTTTTTTTCAATAGGGAATAATAGACCAATACAAAAGAAAAATGGACAAAAAAAATAAAGAAAAGAGAAAAATGTGTCAAAATAATAAAGAATAGAGAATAATAGGGCAAAATAATATAAAGAAAAGAGAAAAATGGTTTAAAGATTATAAGCATAAACACCCTCCCCTTAAGGATGTACATCTCTAAGGAGCCAGAAATTTCTAGAATTAAACTTTTTTTCTTAACCTGATTTTTGGGTTTATATGACTGTAAAATCATAATTGGTGAAGAAAAAATCATATGGTGGTGCACTTCTTTTTTTGCTACAGCCATTTGAAAGTACCCAATTTTGATGATTTTCCCATTTTTCATCAATTTTTGGGCTATTATCATGAAAAAAATCACAGTTTCACAATTAAACGTTTTTTCATACTTTCATTTAAGATGAAGTGGACCAATCTGAATAAATTTAACTTAAAAAAACTATGGGCGGGTGTTAATATAAGAAAGATTTATAAAATTTTGTTGCTTTTGAGTGTCAAATTTACCATGTTGTCAATTTTGTAAATTTGGGATTTTTCTCTTTTTTTAGAACAAAAAGCATATTATTTCAACTTCTTTGTTATAAATGATTAGAAATGTACATATCTAAGAAACTTGAAAAGAAAAAAATGATATTGGATGTACATGTATCTGGTAAAATCATTTCTTGTGCCCCTCACCCATTTTCTCAACGTTTTGTCTAATGAGATTGACTTGATTGCTTATAGAATTTGAAAATTTTTTACTCAAAAACTACTTATTGTAAATACACAATTTTTTCACACAGTTAAGTTTGATTATAATTTTTTTTAAATTCATTGATATTTTCCACTTGTATCACATGATATGGAAATAATTCTAGAACGAGATTTCAACGAGACTGAAACGTCAGAAGAATACATCCTTAATCAGACCCTCTTATAAGATAGAATATATTTTACCTTTCGGAACAAAACATACCTTGAGTTATTAGGTAAGCCGACTTTGATAATGTCTCTACGCCATTGGTGGCTTCACATTCATATTTCCCGGAATCTCCTGCTAAGGCACTTATAATCTGTAGCTGTGATCCATCCGGTATACCATACACACCTTGTGTTACTGGTACCCTTTGCCCATTAGCTGCTATGTGGTACCAGCGAATTGTTGGTGTGGGATTCCCGCCAAATTTACATTCCATTTTTACCGGAAGTCCGGTAAGTATGGTGTGATTTTGAGGAATTTCTAATATTTTAATATGCTCTGAAATATGTTTTAAATCATGTCAATAAGTGATTAAGTGTATTTGTTTTAAACTCTTTAAAAGTACGAAAGAAGGGTCGATTGATTATTCACCGCATCTGAAAATACAACCGAATGTTGTGTCACTGTGTATGGTTGAACGTTTAGTCAATCGTTTCAATGGGAAATTTGAATCAAATTATTGATTAACAATCACAAATTTTCTGTCTATAGAGCTCGTTTTCCCAAGGTTCGATATAACTAATTCAAATAATTAATGAAAATTGTTTAATCTTGAATTAAGCAAAACAGAGTAACAGACCACACCCTATCCCCGGCTATCGGTACGGCAGATACAATAGGGTCTGTATTCCCTATTCAATATCAATAAAACCAACTGTGTTGGCTTTCCGTGAGGGTGTGGATGGGGGTTTACAGAATAGAGAATAATGGGGGGGGGGGATATAAAAAATAAAAATAGATAAAAAAAAAAGGACCATAAAAATAAAGAATGGAGAATAATGAGGTGCTAAAATATCAAGAATAGAGCATAATGGCGTGCTAAAATATAAAGAATAGAGAATAATGAGGTGCTAGAATATAAAAAATAGAGAATAATGGGCAAAAAGTATAAAGAATAGAAAAAAATGGCCGAAACAATTAAAAGAATACAGAAATGAAGGCCCCATCGAGACCCTCTTTCATATTCAGCTGATGTTTGCCTGTTTTACGATTTCCGTTGCAATACATGTACAAAGGAATTTGTAAACAAGTGCAGTAGATCTGTCATTTATTGCATCTGCCGTACCGATAGGCGGTAAAAGGGTATGCAAATTGTCAAAAAGTACAAAATATTGATCTTGTAAACAAATCCTAAAATTTAAATAGAAGTGTTAAACATGGTTACAGTTTTGAAATTAAATTGAATACAAATTCATTATCGACTCTTGCCCAATTGATATATGGGATTCTTACAATACGCATTGCAACTGGAAGGTTCCGTAACGAACACATGTCACTATAATAAATAATTACTTACTTACTTATTTTTGGAAAAAATGTGTTCAAGGAAAAATGAAGTTATTTTCTCCCTCGTTTCACTCCACCGAATATAAAGTTTTTCTTAACTAGATATCGTAGAAAAAAGCCAAACACATTATAGGGTTGTACGTTCGCTACAAGATCGTATTTAATATAACATATTTTAACATATCTATATACAATCAGCCATACAAAATGCATCAAAATCCACCATACACATGTCGATACGAAATGATAAAGAAACTTACAAGACGGTTATCTTGGGTGGGTGGCTGGGAATAGTATACCAAACTAACTACTTTGTCCTTACTATCTTGTAACGAACGCCGCATTGGTCAAGCGCGCCTTAAATTTTCTTTATATACTGACCGCCGAAATGTCCGTGCAGAAAGGAATTCAATGGGTATTACCCTATCTAATTTAAATATAGAAAACCGTTATGTGAAACATAGGTCCGTAAAGAAATGTAAAGAACAGTTGTATGGGCCAATAGATATCTTAGTAATTAAAAGTTAACAAGGGTAATGTTTATTTTTACGCCCATCAATAAATTGGTAAAACTTTGATTAAAAAAAAAAGAAAATCACACTTCATTTTTTTTGTGCGTCCGAAAAGCTTATCTGGCTTCACTTTCCCCATGAACGCTTAAGGGCATACGATACAGTTTTGATCTCACGGTATTTGTTTTTTTTTCGAAAATTTGTATAAAAGCTATTTTTCACTTAGTCAATTAAAATATGTAATAAATAATATACCTTCATGTGGTACCTTTAGAGATTAATGGTGTATGGTGTCGAAATTTAAGGCATTTGCTCAGTACAGACAAACATAACAGTTTGACGTCGCGAAAAATATCATTTTACGTTAGCAACGTCATTACCTCCCTTGTATCTGAATCGGTATGCCCTTGATATTGAAATAAAGATGCAGAAAGTTGAAAATGAATAAAAAGTGACCTAAAATAAAACATGACCCATAAAGAATACCCAAATTCATCTTACGTCGTACAGTGACCGATAGTTGTTAACTTTCACATCATCATTCGGTCTCTATTAAGGGATACTTATCTCATTGGCAATCATACCCCATGTTCTTATTTCTATATTTCCCCGAAGGAGTTGTAACCTTAGTTTCTTAATAATTTCTTTATCTATCAACAGGAAATATTACAATAGTATTTATAAATGATGTCTGTACCGAAGCACATACTATTGAGCAGATGATACATTGGGGACTTACAGTCTACCAGCAGTGGTATGGACCAAGTGCTAGTAAAACAAAATAAAAACTTCGTGCGTCTGAAGAGCTTTACTGGATTTTTAGAAGCTAATAATAATGATTACTTGGATATTAAATAAAAACAATGATAAATAAACGTTTACAAAAGAGTGTGGATGGGGTTTTACAGAATAAAGAATAATTGACAAAAAATATAAAAAATAGAGAGAAATGGGCCAAAAAACATGAATTATAGATAAGATGCTAAAATATAAGGAATAGAGAATAATGGGCAAAAAATAAAGATTAGCGAAAAATGGTATAAAAAATTAAAGAATACAGAAATGAAGGACCCCCATCAAGACTCTCTTACAAGGATGACGATTTTTGACTTTTTTGTTTCTTCTATTTAATCATGTTAAATACGTACTGAATACCTCTAAAACGGTCTGTTTACTAGAGGATCCGAGTGCATTTGTTGCTATGCAATTAAATATGGCAGAATCTGCCGTAGTCGCATTTGTAATGGTAATGACAGTTCCGTTCACCTGATATCTGCTGCCCAATGAATTTGGAGGTGGAGACCATGTGATCTTCGGAGTAGGTGAAGCGTTGACGTCACAGATGACTTTTAATGTTGAACCTTCTGTGACCTTTAATAGTTGGTTTGTATTCGAGAATGTTGGTTTTGCTAAATTGAATGGAACATATTATACTAAATATTCATATATTTGCATTCATTGAGCTTAAACAAAAAGATATTTCCCTTTTCAGATGCAAAACAAGTATACGAGCACAGAACAAAAGAGATATAACCCTTTTTGGACATTTCAACAGAATTATATTTTAATTTGAAATGTATGTGCATATTTTATTTATTTTTTTCACTACTTTTTTAAGTTAATGTAGTGTGTTGTCTTATTTCTTATTAGGATAAAAGTGTTCTTATCAAAACATAATTTGAACATTTAGCCATTTAACTTATTGTAATTTAAGCTGCCTCATAATTTACTTAGTTTTTTCTGCTTCAATGGATCATGATCGAAATGTATAAATATATTATTTTATACTTTACCTAAAACATCACAGCAGCTTGGTCCAGCAAATGACTTTACGTTTAATGGGGCTCCAGCAGGTCCCGGTGGTCCAGGGCTGCCATCTCGTCCCGGTGATCCAGGAAGACCGTCTCGTCCTGCTGGACCTTTCTGGCCAGGAAGCCCAATATCTCCTTTTGGACCAGGTGGTCCCGATGGACCATTCAAACCTGCCGGACCTTGAAGGCCAGGAAGCCCAATATCTCCTTTTGGACCAGGTTGTCCTGATGGACCATTCAAACCTGCCGGACCTTGATCACCTTTCAATCCTGATAATCCTATATCTCCTTTTGGACCACGTTGTCCTGATGGACCATTCAAACCTGCCGGACCTTGATCACCTTTCAATCCTGACAATCCTATGTCTCCTTTTGGACCAGGTTGTCCTGATGGACCATTCAAACCTGCCGGACCTTGATCACCTTTCAATCCTGACAATCCTATATCTCCTTTTGTGCCTGTTTGAAGTCGAGATAAATTTATTAATCTTTTGCAGTAATTGAAACAACCCGATACTCAGCAAGAACAGAATAACTACAGTTCAGTGGCGGATCCAGGGGGAGGAGGGGGTGGGGGTTCCGGGCGTTGGAACCCCCTTTTTTTACGATCTATGCTTTTGAAAGGGGATATATGGTTGGAAACCCCTTTATCCTTGGTTGGAACCCCCCTTTTAAAAATGACTGGATCCGCCCCTTAACTCAGTTTATCTTTCCCTGTGCGTTACAAATTGCATTCCATATTTTAGCCAAAGTATAATGTATTAATACTTAGTCATAGGCGATTCTTAAGGATATAGTAAGGTCAGGTTTAGGAATTTTTGTTAGATGTTCGGACTTCTTGGGTTTTCTCCTACGTTACAGGGTAAAACAGTTTGCCTCATATCACCCACTATTCTTTTCATATAAGACTTCAATAGCTCATAACAGGTCATTTACCAAAATTCAAGCAGATTCTGGATTTTTTTTTCTTTCGATTTGAGACCCAAATAATGCCAATGCTAAATAAAAGGTAAAAGTCCGAGTCAGCCTTTTCCCGCCTTTTTTTAATATCTCGAAAAGGAGTTCCATAACCTATAAATATTTTTAGCTTATTTTGTTCCTTAACTAATATTCTTCTGATTTAAAGTATCAATTTTAAATTCTAAGTTTTTTTAATTTCACTTTACTACATCCTTCATGAAACAGTTTTGAAATGTAACAAAAATGTATGCGCTACTGTGCTTATCCCTACTCGTAATCAAATAAAACAGAAACAGGAAGCAAGTTTTTAAGCTGATTCAACATGAAACATAAAAATTCAAAGTATCAGCAAAAAGGTAAGTATAACCCGCAATATTCGGGTTATATCTGTCCATATTCGGTTTATATTACATGTATCTGTCCATAATCAGGAGTCTGTAATTCAGTGATTGCCGTGTGTTGATGTATGTCATATTTGTTTCTTGTTTTTATATCAGACCGTAAATTTTCTCGTTTACATAGTTTTACATCTGTCATTTCGTAGCCTTTTACAGCTTCCTATGCGGTATCGTTATGTTCATTGTTGAAGGTAGTGCGGTGACCTGTAGGTCATGTGTGTCTCCTGGTGGAAAGTTTTCAGACGGACAAGGTGTTCGCAATATAGCCCCAAGTTCTAGATGTGGTATAATATAAACACAGAAAAGAAGCAGTACCATTAATTTTCGGCATATGTTTATAGTCATTATGGAGATATTAATCATATGAAATAAATTACAAAAGAGAGAAAACTGTTGAAATTACAATAGAATATATATATAAAATTTAAGGGCAAACTAGACAAAGTGATGCCCCCGCACTCCACCCTGAAGTAACTGTATTATAACAAAGTCAATGTAGGACTTTCTTTGAAATATTATTGTGTTTGGGAGACACAAATGATGTCCCCGCAGATGCAAAGTGTTATTTTAAAATACACAAAGTTGAGCATGGGAGCATATAGGTCTATGTTTCACTGAGTTATCCGGAAACGCTATGCACCTCTTATGCAAGTTTATACTTCAAAAATGTCAAAGTTCAACTATCTCCCAAAAGGGCAAATATTAATAAAAATCAAAACCCTGACCACATGCACACCTTCAATATATGTAAAAACTGACATCAAAGTGAAAACTTCCTAGCATTCAAACTGTATGAGGAGTTATGCGGAATAACTATATACCCATAATGGGACGAACGGACGGACAGGGGTAAAACAATATGCCCTCCAACTTTTAGTTGCGGGGGCATACAAAGAGATTTAAAAAACTGGAAACGATTATATGAATTTATATTCGATGACCACTTATCTACAATTTATCTTCCAAACCTTACTGACATGTCTTACTTCCTATACACTTGGAATATCATTGGCTATAAAAGCGAACATGTGTAGACCGTCTAAATTTAATATTTGGTCAGTGGGTGTGTTTTATTTTAATTTTGTAAAACGACTTGGCGTTGAATAAAAATCTGTAACGTTTTGCACGTTTAAAAATAAATGCAGAAAACACATTAACAGCTAACAAAATGTTATTGCTGACATTTGTTTTTGTATGGAGCAATGGAAGTAGGTTCTTATTATATTGAAGTCTTGATCACTTTTATAGGCCACATATTTAGATAGTCGTAATATTAATTCGTTACACAGTGTCTATAAATATTTTCAATAATCGTATTGTTCAAAAATGAATGTACAAGGTTTCATCGCCAGTACTGTTTAACTACGATTTTCTATACAACTATTTATAACTATCTATAAAGTTACAAACCTGGTAAGCCGATGGGACCTTGAACACCAGGATCACCTTTAGGCCCAGTTTCTCCTTTTTGTCCTGGTTTTCCATCGGGTCCTAATAAGTATGAAATATTTTATGATAACTACGTTATTAAACTTTCTAGGTTAAAAATAATTTACAACATTTTCACAAATGATTTTTTTTCGGGAGATTTGATAAAATAATCAATTTTGTTTTAACAAATATATATGTAGCGTTTGCGTGTGATTATTTTTAACATGTATAATTGTTGAGAAAAAATAACATTTTTGTCGGGCGGGAAATGTCTTCTTATTAAGGACTTCGCATAAAAAAAGTTATCAATTGTACTGTTTTTAAACGTAAAGTAACTTTCTGTCGAATGGGGCTTCAGCAATTATTTTCAATATTCTTGCAGGGCAAATACATATAATTTGAATCTAACAAGAAATTGACCCTACTAAGTTCCCAATAAATAGCAAACAGTTCCTAAATAGATTAATCTTTCCAGTACACATCTATCGCACAAAGAAAGGACTAAACTCATTTATCCAAACTTTTTCATACTTTTAACTTAAATGCTTCAGTTTATACATACTTTGTCCCTCCGTCACATCTCCCAAAGCCCAGTCACGTCATATAATTAAATCTACTCCCAAGAAAGAATGTTCAAATTTATGAGGATCTGGTTGGAGTCTACAAAAAGTGCAGAATAAACGGCTAAAAAAACGAGTGGAGAAAAATAGGCCAAAAAAATAAAGAATAGAGAATAATTGGGTGCTTAAATATAAAGATTAGAGAATAATGGGCAAAATGTAGAAAACATAGAAGAATGCCTGAAAAAAAATGAAAGAATACAAAATTGAACGACCCCGCCCCAATCCAGACCCTCTTTTATTGTTACCTACCTGGCATACACAGCTTGGTGTCATTAGCGCAGTATTTATCAAATAATGTTACCTGGAAAATAGCAATGCAAGTAAAGTATATATGGAATCGTTACTATTTTCTCGGAAAAGTAAGGTATTTATTTCCGGAAACGTAGACTTTTTTTTGCGGAAACGTCATCTTTTTTTTTCGGAAAAGTAATGCCAATTTGCGGAAACGTAAAACGCCGGTATATATACAAAATTAAATATTTGTAATTATGATTTTCATTGAACGAGCAGAGTTTAAGTTACTGTCCACTAAATTGTTCTTCAGCGAAGCTTCGATCATGGAAACTCAATACTGTGATACAATACAAATAAATGTCAATGGTATTTTTTTAATATATGGAAAATTAAAGTACCTCTGCGTTTGCTAACTGTTCGAATATTTTAGCCATCTCGTTCCCTGTTGACGTTTGACGCCCAGCTCTGGCATTTCCTTTAGTATGGTCCAGATACAATGCAAAGTCTTTGAGAATTTCTAGAGCTGTTTCTTGACATGTCACTCGTATTGATTGTGCCTTATAAAAAAGAGAAGTTGATCATTTCAAAATAGCAAATACGCTTCCCTCACACAAACACGCACATATCTAAAAATCACTCGTCTCTCTATCTCTATCTCACGCAGACATACTCTCTTTTCCGTACTTACATCAACACGCTAACGTATATCACAATTCACATGGTAACAGCATTCTTTCACTACGAGTTAAAGAAACAGATTCGGAGATTACACCGATAGAACAGTTATAAATTTCACAAGAACCTAAAATTCTTAGAGTTCATCATACTGCCTTTAACAATTTAAAAAAAAATATGTATTTTGTTCAAGACTAGTGATAAAATTACCAAATACGTTCAAAGACCTAAGATAGCATCATACTTTCAATGTACTTTAAACGGATAACAAATGTAAAGCAAGGAGCAAATTGTTTGTTATAAAATCGTTTCAGTATCAATACATTAAACTGTGGAAAGAAAATTGAAATTAACTTTTATGTAGGAAAATCGGTTTGAATAACAGGATGGATCCAGAATTCTAGGAAATGGGACGTTATTGTCGGTAATGGGAAAACTTAGCACCGAGACTGCGTGTCGAAAGATTTAATTTGACAATTTCATACAAAAAAAATCATTATGGTATTTTCCTATCAAAACGGATGGGGCATACGACATCTGCGCCCCTTATATGACTAAATCCGCCATTGCATACTAATGGCAAGTGTGGCTCTTCGTTCCTTGTCTCATTTCTGAAGTACTTTTGTATGTTTCGTATTTATTTGTATTAGTAGTGTTCCTTTGAAGATTGCATAAATAAAATATGTGTACACTAACATTTAATTTTGTATGTGTGCTACCTGGATAATAATACAAAATAAGTCATTGTCGTCCTGTGTACCAAAAGAAAGGACCATGGAGATATCAACTTAATCAAATGGTACCAAGATTTGTTTGCTTTTGTGTAATAGTACCCAGGGTAAATTGGAAAGAAGAAAAGTGCTCAGATCATAGAGAATTTAATATATTTCTAAGTTTTACCAATTCTAGGAATGAGGTTTTTAATATGCTTCGACTTGAAATTGTGTTCGATTGTTTTGACTGCACTGATGCAAGTGCAGGTTCGACATCATCAACTTAATTACCAGACAATTCCGAAAACAGCAATCTGGATACGCTTTTAAGTTCGGGTTAAACTGGTAAACAGCTTTCATTTCAATATGGTACTTTTCCGGTCACAAAACATACCAGGGTACGTTCTTATAGTACCCAGGACAACCGTGACCCGTTCAGCGATAGCAATATTCTTATTATTTTGTTAACTATCGGTTGAAAGAATATTTATCAATAAGATCGTAGAGCAGATAACAAAGTGATCACTAAAAAAAATTTTTGTTGCATGATAAGTTTGTTTCTATTTATCGGTATACAACAATTTATAAACAGCTAATATACTAAATTCATGGTTCACCTAACACACATACATGTACAAACATGACTTTTATGCGCCGGTAGTACCCACTTTCATTATTTAGTTGCAAATTGTTACCATAACTTACTCTGGTATTTTGATCCAGAGATCGCTTATGATTCTCATGTTTCCTTTCTACTGTATTCCGTAAGACATCAATGAATGATTCTGTCTGTAAAAAAGAACATATAGGATTGTTATTGTAACAGTAATTGATAACTCTAATGAAAAGATTGATACTTATTATTCGAGCGAGGTAAATAAACGAGGGTCTGGAATTGGGGGGGGGGGGGGGCTTTCAACTCTGTATTCTTTTAATTTTTTAGGCCATTTTTCTCTATTCTTTATAGATTTTTCCCATTATTCATTATTCTGTAAATTCTTGTTAAAAAATTACATTACCAAAGCAGTGGTCCCCTGTTCAATGGTACTTTTATGACGAACTGTTTACCAGCACTGGTACCGACCAAGGGATGTACTGACCCAGTGCTCAAGATGATAGACACCCAAATCAATGTATGAGGGTGTGGATGGGGGTTTACAGAAGAGAGAATAATGGGCAAAAAATATAAAGAATAGAGAATAATGGGCAAAAAGTATAAAATAGAGAAAAATAGCCTAAAAAATTAAAGAATACAGAAATGAAGGACCCCACCACACCCCGGCCCTCGTGTATACTATAAATTAATCTTAAAATTGCTTAAAAGAGAATTAACAGTTTTTGTAACCAGAATTTCAATCATAAAATAACTGTAGGGTCACCGTACATAATTTCGAGGAAAATGGGGTTCACAATTTAGTTTAATATAGATTGTATATATGTGTGGGACATTAATTCCTTTATGGATAAAACAAAGACTTTATGTTGAAATGTATTGGTTTTTTTTTGGTTAACATTTTGTAGATGAGTTCCATTCAGGATATTAAAAGAAATGAGTCTCCTTTACTGTTTTCTTGTTATTTCGCAAACAATAGTCTAAAATTTTGTTGATTTGCAGGACTGATTATTTATTATTAATATTTCCCTCAATTTAACATTTCTGTGATCGTCTAGAAATTCCTGAAGAAAGCATATATTCCCTTATTCACCCATGTCACTATTCTCAAAGCAAACATTATGAGTTATCATGGTTATAGGTTAAACTTTAAGTACAAAATTTGTGTAACCTTTTGATTTCTATCTTGGGTAAAGGTCTTTAAGTGTGTAACTCTTTCCATTCATAGAACATGATTATGGGTATACAAAATTATTAACCGTAATGAAAATTAATCCAATATACATGACTTTTAAAATATATAAACTTTATTCATAAACATTGTATGGGATGTATAAATAAACAGCCACGTCCGATGGCAATTTGGCCATTAAATACGATGCCCCGTGTATGAAGCGTACCACGGTCTCCTGCTGTGCACGTTTAATAATTCTATTAACGCTTTTCTAAGGAATCATAGTTGCCATACTACATATGTACTACAAAGAAAAAACCTGTTCCGACCTAACATACCATCTTTTCCTAGTCCATATGTCCTGCTATGAATCTTGGTTGACCCATATTTAACTACCTAGTACTTAGTGCTGCTCCGTCCTAAATTTGCATGAAATATTTGTCACAGGACGCTATGCAACCAAAAATCAGTTAATCACAATGAAAACGAATCGAAACCAGTACGTACAAATATAAATTGTACCAATATGAACCATAAGATATAAATCAAATATGTTAATCAAATCATCTCTTACATTCTGAAAACCTGTCTGCTCTTCCAAATCTTTTATCCTGCCAAACTGGTACACGGTCAATGTAACAAATGCTGACAGATGGAGAATAGAGACCAGAACTAAACTATAAACAACCAGTGAATTATTCTCCTTAGCTCCCTTCATTATGTAATGTCTGACCAAATCACATTTGGAGGAGTTGTGACCTGGTGAATTTTATGTTATCTTAAACTATATGATAAGGCAGACACTTTGAACTTAGGTTAGTGTGTGGTACTAAACGATAAATCTCATTCATGATTCCAACGTCATAACAACAGCTTAGTACTTATACATGTTAAATATAAGGATAATTATGATTTATATTTTTTTCTCTCAGAGGAATCGTTTGTTGGTTGTTGCAATATATGTGATATACAGAGCAAAAACGGAAAATGTATTTCCCATTTTGCAGATCGAAAACGTCATTTTGTTAACGTCTAAATCACGTGATCAAAAACGTCAAGTGGAGCTCTCCTCTGTCAATGGCTACTCGGCTGTTGATGTGGTCATTTTTAGAGATTTCTATTCTAACAACAGCTTAGTAATTAAAGATAAGGCTATCATTTATATATATATATATATATATATATATATATATATATATATACAAGTCTAAATTGAAAACGACGTTCAAACCTATGATTGCGTTGGATAAAAACCGCAATTTTTATACGTGTGCATGCAAAACAAATTTCTTGGTAGAGGGGTCTAAATACAGCACAAACAACATTTTCCAAAAGACCAAAAAAGTGAAAAAGTATATTTTAACAAAACGCATTTGACTAACAGGTCGAACAACTGATGTTCTTAAACCCTGCTGACTGCCATTGGCGATTGCCAAATAAACGGATCACAAGATGTAACAAAATGGATCTTTAAAAATTAATAATCTAATACCAAACAGAAAACAATAAACTTGCGGAAAAGATGGTATACCGCAAACAAAAGGTGCAAAAATTAGTACACCATATCCGGATTTCGACAATTAATGTCTCTTCAGTGATGTTAGGGATCGAAACAGTATTTGGAAGGCCATAAAATTTACCTCAATTTAGGATAGACTCTTGAATTTTAAAGAGTCGAAATAGGATGAACGGATCATATAAACCCGAAGGAAAATATAATACAAGCCCAAACGAAAAAATATAAACAAGTCTAAATTGAAAACGACGTTCAAACCTATGATTGCGTTGGATAAAAACCGCAATTTTTATACGTGTGCATGCAAAACAAATTTCTTGGTAGAGGGGTCTAAATACAGCACAAACAACATTTTCCAAAAGACCAAAAAAGTGAAAAAGTATATTTTAACAAAACGCATTTGACTAACAGGTCGAACAACTGATGTTCTTAAACCCTGCTGACTGCCATTGGCGATTGCCAAATAAACGGATCACAAGATGTAACAAAATGGATCTTTAAAAATTAATAATCTAATACCAAACAGAAAACAATAAACTTGCGGAAAAGATGGTATACCGCAAACAAAAGGTGCAAAAATTAGTACACCATATCCGGATTTCGACAATTAATGTCTCTTCAGTGATGTTAGGGATCGAAACAGTATTTGGAAGGCCATAAAATTTACCTCAATTTAGGATAGACTCTTGAATTTTAAAGAGTCGAAATAGGATGAACGGATCATATAAACCCGAAGGAAAATATAATACAAGCCCAAACGAAAAAATATAAACAAGTCTAAATTGAAAACGACGTTCAAACCTATGATTGCGTTGGATAAAAACCGCAATTTTTATACGTGTGCATGCAAAACAAATTTCTTGGTAGAGGGGTCTAAATACAGCACAAACAACATTTTCCAAAAGACCAAAAAAGTGAAAAAGTATATTTTAACAAAACGCATTTGACTAACAGGTCGAACAACTGATGTTCTTAAACCCTGCTGACTGCCATTGGCGATTGCCAAATAAACGGATCACAAGATGTAACAAAATGGATCTTTAAAAATTAATAATCTAATACCAAACAGAAAACAATAAACTTGCGGAAAAGATGGTATACCGCAAACAAAAGGTGCAAAAATTAGTACACCATATCCGGATTTCGACAATTAATGTCTCTTCAGTGATGTTAGGGATCGAAACAGTATTTGGAAGGCCATAAAATTTACCTCAATTTAGGATAGACTCTTGAATTTTAAAGAGTCGAAATAGGATGAACGGATCATATAAACCCGAAGGAAAATATAATACAAGCCCAAACGAAAAAATATAAACAAGTCTAAATTGAAAACGACGTTCAAACCTATGATTGCGTTGGATAAAAACCGCAATTTTTATACGTGTGCATGCAAAACAAATTTCTTGGTAGAGGGGTCTAAATACAGCACAAACAACATTTTCCAAAAGACCAAAAAAGTGAAAAAGTATATTTTAACAAAACGCATTTGACTAACAGGTCGAACAACTGATGTTCTTAAACCCTGCTGACTGCCATTGGCGATTGCCAAATAAACGGATCACAAGATGTAACAAAATGGATCTTTAAAAATTAATAATCTAATACCAAACAGAAAACAATAAACTTGCGGAAAAGATGGTATACCGCAAACAAAAGGTGCAAAAATTAGTACACCATATCCGGATTTCGACAATTAATGTCTCTTCAGTGATGTTAGGGATCGAAACAGTATTTGGAAGGCCATAAAATTTACCTCAATTTAGGATAGACTCTTGAATTTTAAAGAGTCGAAATAGGATGAACGGATCATATAAACCCGAAGGAAAATATAATACAAGCCCAAACGAAAAAATATAAACAAGTCTAAATTGAAAACGACGTTCAAACCTATGATTGCGTTGGATAAAAACCGCAAGGAAAATATATATATATATATATGAGGGTTTGGATGGAGGGTCATTCATTTCTATGTTCTTTAATAATTTAGGTCATTTTTCTCTATTGTTTATACTTTTTGCCCATTATTCTCTATTCTTTGTATTCTATCACATCATTAGCACATACTTACAACTTCTCGTCCAATCAATTTGCTTATATTTGCCTTCTAATTTTCATAGTACATACTTTTCCTGTGTACTAAGTAACTACGCATGAATGACCACAAGGGTAGATTTCATTGTATCGTAATCAAGATATTTAAAACAAAAATTGCCATTGGCTATTTTGAAATAAAATGCTGTGTTCCAAATTAAATTAAATAGTTTGTAATTAGTTTTCACATTGATTTTTAAATATCCTGCTATTAAAATCTTTGGATCTAAAAAATGTTTTTGACAATTGCAAATTTTATCATTTAAATAAAGGGTAATACATATGGTTCTTTATACCTTGATTAGAGTACAACGATATCTTAAAATTATGATAATGTATCATCCATGCAATTACTTTGTACACAGAAAAGTGTGTACTATGAAACCTTGTGAAGGCAAATTAAAGCACATTGGTGATAATTTTTTAAACTTTCTTAAGGAAAGTGATCTATTTCGTCATGAATTGATTGATTTATTGATTATTGGTTGCTTAATGTCCAGTGGCAAATATTTCATGCATGTTCAGGACGATGTCATGAATTGAAAAACTGTGATTATGTCTGAAGATAATGTGCCACCTATATTATTTATATATATAAACATATTCTGATAAATCTTTGTTTTTAATTTGAACTAATAAAAAAAAAAACACAAAACCTATAATCTCTGATCTATTTATAGTTGCTTTTTAATGCCTATCTGCTAGACTATATCTTTGGGGACAAACTATCTATATGTTTCAAATTTATTATAGCTTTAGTTTTACTGTGAAATTAAAAAAAATGTTTTCAAAACATGTAAAGCTTCCACTGCAATTTAATAATGGCCTGCTTTTGGTCAATTTATTTTGTCATCTTACCTTGTAAGAAGAACATGTATAGTAAAACACCGCTTTATATCAGTATACATACTTACACCAGCAGCTACCATCTTTTCATTCTGGAGTGAAGGGCCTTTTGAAATCACATATTTTACAATGATACTAGTGAGTAGATTTACAAAATTCGTTAATGAGCTCCGTTTTACAAACACCTGTGATACAAGTAGTCAGCCAAAATAAACTATCAATAGATCAATTAAAAGATTACTCGAGTTGTAAGTATGTGCTAAATTGGATAGTCTATGGAAAGGTATATACTATGAAATTAAGAGCTCGGGGCAAGCCCCTCGCTCTAAATTTCATAGTATATACCTTTCCATAGACTAACCTAGACTTATTCTCTATTCTTTGTATTCTATCACATCATTATTCTCTATTCTTTATATTCTATCACATCATTATTCTCTATTCTTTATATTCTATGTATATGTAAGAGAATGATAATCCCTTTCTTCATGAATAAGTACGAGCGTTAGCGAGTACTTATCATGAAGTAAGGGATTATCATTCTCTTACAAACTTAGAATATTGTAAAGTGCTCAAGGCTCAAATGATCTATTCAAGAATTAGTTTCATTGTCAGTGCAATGTTTATAATTGATACATGACTTCCTTTTTCGGCATGTCGTTTATGAATTAGTTTTAGTGATGTGAGGACTTTCTTATCATTTGGGAAATATTTTTTTTTTCAAATGCGTTATAATAGATATTAGGTGACACAACAGTAGAAAGAAAAGATAGGAATTGTATGTTTCCTGATTGTGAGTATGAATGTAAATCATGTAATATTTTAGTGAGGAATTATCCTTTTTTTATTTACAGTTTAAATCAATTAATACATTTGAGTTACAACTAAATTTTATTTCACAGCCAATAATTTGGTCCGGCTTTTTACATCAAATACTGTTTCATTATGTCAGGGAAATGTTCAAAAATAACGCCCTTAAAAGTTTTTAATATGTTCAAATTAAATTAAATTCCTGGTTTTTTTTTATCGGAATACAAATTTTACTGCACCAGTAAACTTCAACTTATTTTGAGATTTTTGTTTGTTTCACAACTCAACTTTTAGTCAGTTTCAATCACTGTGTGATAAATCCTTTCAATCTGATAAATGTGCTTCGGGGCAGTTGTATCTCATTTATAGAAACTCTTTGTTTT